CCGTTTCTTTGTCTGAACCTTTCTCCTATCACTTCCTCTTATCTTGAGGCATGGATTATAACCTATGGAAGACTAATGAGTCTAGAACCACCATGGCTATTGATTAAAGAATAAGAAAGAGATTGGTTTTATTCTCATATTCTGTTATGTGCATTATGTTTGTAGGTCAAGACGAGAACATCGTTCCACCGCTTCAGAGACCTACCACTGTGAGTAGTAGTACTGTAATCGTATGTTTGCTACCGTTAATAATTCTTATTATTAACTCTGCTCTTTACAAGTAATTATGTTAACGTTTATGTTGTTTGGAAATCGGTGAGAACGTTGAAAGACTTTGTGTACATCGGCATGACTCTGTTACTACTATGCATTCTGGTTACGATTAATAGTTAGCATTAATGTGCTACAACTCCGTATAAGCATTACATACGAATTATTAATACTGTGCAATTGCTTAATGAAAAAGGAATTGGGAATGTAAACCCCGCTTACGGAAACATGATATTTTGAATGTCCCATTATGGACTCCTATAATCTGATTGATTCGATGCATGTTTTATGACATAGATATCTGCCTAGGATGGCTAATTGAAATGACTAATCGGATAGAACCATGGGTTGCCTTATACGTTAAAGAATTGAATATCAACAGCATTGTTATATGACCCACGTTATGGTGTGAATTGGTCCGCTCTCATGAATAGTACTGTAATGACGCATGTGTTTCTGTAAACAATTATTATTAATGCTCAATTATACGCAAGACAACTATGTCCATCTGTAACATACGCACTACTTCCAGCTAATGACAGCCTTAGCATTCTGTTATCGCATGTTAATTATGTAACTACCTGAATGATTCAAAGAATGTAAATGAATGATTGTCCACATGTATATAAGTATTCATGGTATCCTTAGCACAAGGCCCTTACCCGGGGGTAAAAATACCGTGGTCTTATGGCCCTTGCCCGGGGGTAATAATACCATGGTTCATGTATGTTATGCTATACTATGACACCGTATGGATGATTCGGTCATTAAGACCTAAGGATTTCTGGTATGGAACAAAGTACTGTACGAAACTAAGTGCTGATATACGAGTCACCTCTAGAATCCGTACGAGCCACCTCTTGAGTCCATACATATATGAACTGAGGCCTATAGCCGTTCTATGAAAGTTAAGAGGCCTATGGCCGATCTGTGGCATGTGTGAGGCCTATGGCCAATCTGTGACATCTGGGCCTATGGCCATTCTGTATGATCTATTAGTATGAAACAAAGTGAGTACTGCAATGCGAGTCACCTCTAGAATCCGTGCGAGCCACCTCTTGAGTTCATGCATGCATAAAAAGGGCTTAATGCCATTCTGTTTAAGGGCTTAATGCCACTCTGTTCAAGGGCTTAAAACCATTCTGTTTAAAGACTGGGCCTAAGGCCGTTCTGAAATTAGTACAGAATCAGATTAACCATAAATTCTCTGCATTTATATACCTTGTGATTCAAGTTAGATATTGGATTATCACGTACTATTATTCATTGAGCCTTGCTCACTCTGTTTTTATTTATGTTTATGTAGGTGAGCCATTGGGGATTGACACTAGAATTGTATTGGGGTCAACCTGTTTGCCAAGCCGCCTGGGGTACGCCTCCGTGTTGAGGCCTTAATTTTGATTACTGAGAGTTATGTAATTTTTGGAGTCTTATTTAAGTTTGTGTGAGATCTGCATAATTCTATGATTATATATGTAATTATGGGAATGTATTTAAATGCTAAATTAATTAAGCCACCATGTATACACAAGCTCAATGGATGTTGCCTTTATTTGATATTGCTTCTGCTTAAGGCCCCGTATGTGGTTAAATATTATTCTAAAATTTCTGTTTTGAGGCCTACATACAGGCCGGTCATGGACCAAACTATTAGGGGCGGGTTTGGGTCATGACAAAACCCCTTGTGTCTCAAAGGTGCTAATTCTGTTTTGGGTTGTGTCTGGTAAATAGTTCAGTTGTGAGTTTTATTTTCTTTGTCTTTTATTGCATTGTTGCGTCAGTTAAGTCTTTTCCCTTGAGTCCCTCTCAAGTACCCTCAAGTCTTCATTGTTTTCAATAAGAAAGCGGGAGTCAAAGTTTTGATCACTTTGTTGTGCCTACAGTAATGCATGTGTAACCTTTTTCAAAATGGAAAAAGCTTTGAATTTTTTTTTTCTTGAATGAGGTTTTGTTAATAAGAGTGAGTGTTGAGAAGGATCCCCGAAATGGTTTGAGTGAATTCTGCCTTATCGGCGCAAAGCCCTTCATGATCTCAAAAGTTTAAGCTGCTTCTTCAGCTGTTTCTTCTACAAAACTTGCGAAGATAGATTCAAAATTATGCGTGGTATTCTGCATTGTCCTGGGGATGCTCTTCAGCTTTAAGAAATCATTTTGGCAAGCACAAGATGACTTTCAAACCTCACAATCATAGAATTTCTCCCCCTGGTGTTTTCAATTATTTTAGAAAGAAATGGATGAGCGAAGCTGAAAAAGAAGAAAAAGAAGAAGAAGAAAAAGAAAAAGAAAAAAGAAGAAAGAAAAGAAAAAAGAAAAAAGAAAAAGGAAAAAAAGTCAACCATCAAGCCAGGCGCATTCATTGGAATGAAATCCAATCAACCAGGAGGAAGGGAACTGTTGACTGAATCCGAGGAAACTAATGCGAGGAAGTACCACATTGCAAGAAGAACCAACTCTGAAATGGAGTAAAAGAAAAGAAGATCTACATAAGAAAATGGAGAACCAAACTCAAAATCAAGGTGAAGCTAGTTCCAGTGTTAGGGCAAGGATGACTATTGATCATATTCACCACAAATGCTGTAATGCTATCTTTGAGAGGCTCGCTAGGCCGAAAACTCGATAGGGCGACCTAGCCAAAAGTTAGAGCATGAAAAATGAGAAATCAAACAAATAGAGCTTGCAAGGTTGAAAACCTTGAAGGGGCAACTTTGGCAAAAGTTAGAGTGCAAATGGAGAGTGTCAAAACCCGAGTGAACCTTAGCCATGAACTACGTTGGCCTGATTCCCATTCTTGGGATATATAGGCAACTTTATCCTAAAGTGCGGTCTTAACCATATCTATCTTGTTCTTCTCGACCCAATCATTTTGCTTGATTCACGTCGTCAGCTTCACATCAATCCATGAGCTGCACCAACTGCTACACATATCATACTTGCGTTGGGTAAGAAAGAACTAGCTTAAATCAACAAGTGGAGAATTTTTCAATACTTGAACTTATCAGTAGAATCTCTAACTTAAGCAACAAAAATTGAATCAAAACTCGGGTTTTACTAAATTGAGTTTTAAAGGGAACATAAGTAATATTAGGGGCACTATGAATGATCAATCACCTTGAGTCTTTTTCTGCTTTTGGGTCAATTGTAAGTTCTGTTGTGTCGTTCCTATTGTTTGTTTCAGTCAGCGCTCTTCATTGAGTCACCATAGCATGTTTGTCACTCAAAGTCAAATAGAGTGGCATGGTCAAAATTCCATACACGAGCGTTCGTTTCAAACTCTAAAAAAAATCCATGTGTGAAATTCATAAACAAACTGAGAGTGCCCATACAAAGGGCATCGAATTCATGATCATTGCAAAGTGTATGCGAGGAATTCATCACTACATTGGAGGAGATTAGAGTAATGCTGGCGTAGAAGAGAAGCATGAGTCTAATTGGTTGGCAACTGTTCTAGGATCTGATGATCCCCATCACACGTGCCTACGTAAATGTTAAAAAGTGGCCAGCGCCTAGACATTAGGAGCAATTTCGTTACAACTGATTAGGCCATCCATCGAACTAGGGGTATGAACCCAACCGGTGGCCAATGACTGGATATTAGGGGCAATTTTCAGTGCGTCTGATCGGGTCATCAATTGAACAAGGGGCATGAACCTAACCTTTTTGTCGGTCCGCTCAAAGCCACTTGTTGGGCATTTTTCCCTGGATTAGGGTAGCTCACCCCCAAGATGATTCTGATATGGTTCGACTTTCGAAAGTTGTCTCTAACCATTTCAAAACGCTCTTGGGATTGCCATCTTCCCTCTGATTAATACATGTGCTTTATGCATGCATGCTCATACACTCTGGTTGATTTGAACTGCATGATTGGTTGCTCTTACTCTTCACTCTGTTCTGTACTTAACAGAGTTTTGTCAAGTTGCCTCCCTTTTTGTTACATTTCAATGTGTTATGACAAGCTGCCTTGCACTCATTTCATAAGGTACATGACGCATTACTCTGAGTACTGCTCATTTCCCTCTACATACCATGTATCTTTCAACTTGCATTGAACTGTTTTGTGCATCTTGTATTGCACTGTTTTGTGCATTCCACCTTGTATCGCATTGTTTCGTGCACCTTGTATAGCATTGTTTTGTGCACCTTACATCGCACTGTTTTGTGCACCTTGTATCGCACTGTTTTGTGCCTTCATACATCTTTATTCTGTATTGCACTGTTTTGTGCACCTTGCGTCGCAATATTTTGTGCATTTACCTCGCATCGCACTGTCTTGTGCATTTGTCTTAAACAGAAAACGTAAGTGTTACTAAACGACACCTCAATAGTCAAGTAAGCTCATATATCATTTTCTTGCATCCATATTTACTCGTGCATCACAATCATAATAAATTTAATTGGCATACCATAATTTTTTGATTGAAAAATAATATATAAGTTAAAATTTTAAATTTATTTTCTTGAATTAATAATGTGTGAGATAGATAATTAACTAATAATTAGAATGGATATAAGAAAAAGAGTTTTCTCCTTTTCTTTTTTATCAATAAAAAACAACTTTCTAGATGAGGATCAAAAAACAAGACATGAGATATACATCTATAAATAAAGAAGGTAAATGTAAAAAGTATCATAGCAAAAGTAAGAAAAATATTATGAATTTCAAATTTTTTACTAAATTTTTTATATAGGTGTGATATCCATACAAACTCACATGTATATAGATCTCATACCTATATAAAAAATTTAGTAAAAAAATTAATAAATTATTTAAAATTCCTAACATACCTCATTAAGTAATCCCAATGAAATTGGCATAGTAAAGCAGATCTAATCATATATTAGCACACCACATATTGGTGGGAAGCCAACCAACAACATACGGTAGTAAGAAACAAACAATAGCAGGAGGCAGAATAGTCCAAAAAAAGCAGCAAGCAGCATAACAGCAATCTCAATAAGGCGGCAACAGCAGCAGCAACTTCAAAGACTCCACTGAATATAGAGGAAAATTGTCTTAAATATTTTAAATTGAATGTTATATTATTAAATTTAAAAATTCAGTCTAACTTTTAAATTAAAATAACAATTTCCTTATTGATTTTTTTTATTCGCAAAACGAGAAAATTACTGATGTAGGAAAATGATACAATGAAGCTTCGTCAATAATTGGAGTACCTAGCATTGCTGATCATCTAAAATGCTTCCAACACTCTTCCACTTATGTGCCAACTCTGAGAGTAACTTTGTGGAAGACCCATCATTGCTTAGGACCTTTAGAGCAGCTTCCTTTAATTCCAACATATGATTTCTAAGCATCTTTCCTTCATCTCCTTCCATTAGAGCCTTCACAGCTTCTGCAATCTCATCTCTACCCAAAATCCCATTCTGGTTCATGTTTGGTCTCAGTGCCACTTTCAAACCCTCACTTAGCATCACCGCATTCATCTTTTGCTCAGCAAAGAGTGGCCAAGCAATCAATGGTATGCCGTTGACAACGCTCTCCAAAACCGAGTTCCAACCACAGTGAGTCACGAACCCACCGGTTGAGCCATGACTCAGGATCTCAACCTGTGGTGCCCAAGATGGGACCAGTAGAGCTCGCTCTTTGGTCCTCTCCATGAACCCATTTGGCAAGAAACCAAAAGGGTCATCTTGGCTTTGGACACTGAAATATGTAGCATTGGCACTATCATTTGGACCCTTTACAACCCACAAAAACCTATGACCACTCACCTCCAACCCTAGGGCTAGTTCATTGAGTTGATCATTTGAGAGAGTCCCACCACTCCCGAACGAGACGAATAAGACCGAGCCACGTGGCTGGATGTCCAACCACTGTAAACACTCTGACCGCTCGAGCGGATTACTTGAACCGGCTCGGACAATTGGTCCAATTGGATAAACCGGTGGGATTCCTGGTTCATCTCCTTGCAAAGCCTTTATGGGTCCCGGTTCCAAGTCCATAAAGCTGTTTAGGATTATGCCATCAGCAAGACTGAACTGTCTGCAATGGTGAAGAATCCATTTATAGGCCACAGTGTCGCGGTCTCGAACCAGGTCCACCACAAGGTCTCTACCATGAACCGGTACGCAGCCTGGTATTTGGACCAATTCAGGAAGGTCTCTGTAATTATCAGAAACTAACTGATCGTGAAGCTTTGGAAAGAAGAAGCACCAAGACAAAGCCATGGCCGGCGAGGGAGAGAACAAGTAAGAGGAGATACAAAACTGTTTTGCTACATGAATTGCTTCGGTGCTCAAGTAATCAACCACTAAAGCAACTAACTTGGTGGTGGCAATGAGTGACTCCAAAACCTCGCTAAACGAAGGAAGAGAGCGAATTACCGTGAGGGCGATTTGTGTTACGGCCTCAGGGCCTTCGAAGTGGTCGTGGAAGGTGATTGGAGGAAGAAAGAGGTAGTTTATGGATTTGGGTAGGGATTCGAGGGCTGCGGTTTGAGCTGAGGACGGTGGGGCGGCAGTGGGGATGATGAAAGTGGCGGAGAAGCTGTGGCGGTGAACAAGTTGCTTGGCAAACTCGGCTAGTGGGATGAGGTGACCCAAACCTGGACTCGGTAGAATGGCTATATGGGGTGTTTGTTCCATACTAGCAATATTTTGGTTGTGTTTGCAATAGAAAGTAGTTGGAAAATAACTAGATAGTTATTATATAGTATAGATGTTGGGTTTTGTTGGGAAGTGCGTTTTGGATGGGATTGTTGGGAAGTGTTAACCAAGGTTAGAGCATCCCCAATGCATTGCTAAAACAGCTGCTATAATATGGCAGCTTGGGAAAAAATAGCTTCTCCAATGGCATGCTATAACAGCTGTCAAATTTGGCAACTGCCAAATCTGTTGCCAAATTTGGCACCAACTTTGGCAACTGCCAAATGTGCCAACTCACCAAAAATCAATCGTTTTCTTCATTCCATCCCTCATCATTCCTAGCAAAACAGAGTTAATTTTTTGTAAAACCAAATTCACTAATTTTTTTTAAATAGAAATTGTTTAAAATAGAATTTTTTTTAAACATAAATTATTTCAACAACCAAACCCTTCCAAAAAAAAAAAAATCACAAACAACAACAACAACAATAACAATAATCAAACAATTGCAATGCAAATAAGAAATTTCAAACGAATTTTAAACAATAAATACCAGAAATTTCTGGTGGTTGATGGATTTGAGACGAGGTTTCGATTTTTGGTGACAACTCTGTTTCGATTTCTGCGATCTGCGAATGGGGCTCAAATAGGGCTCCTTGATCTGTGATCTGTGAAATGGGGGAGAATGATCTACGATCTTGGTTCTCATGTTTGTTTTCATCTTCTTTGTGATATGCGAAGAGGGGCTTGTGATAGAGAGAGAGAGAGAGAGAGAGAGAGAGAGAGAGAGAGAATGATCTCGGTTTCTTCCGTATCATCCATCTGCTACTAGTGGTGCTGGTGGATCCGGAGAGGAGACGAGGGAGAAGGATGAAGAGAGGGAGAGAGAGAGAGAGAGAAGGTTCTGGTCGGTGAAGGTTTTAGATCGAAACAAGAAATGAGAGTGTGAAAAGATTGAGAGAGAAAGAGACAAGTGGTCTGAAGGTTGAAACATTATTTTGAAGCATTATTTTTTGAGAGAGAAAGAAACTGAGTGGTTTGAAGGCTCTCACCACTGTGAACCGTTGATGAACGGTACGAAAATGGGTGGTTGGGAAGGTTGAAGCATTATGTGATAGAATTTTTTATTTTTAATTTTGAAGTGGCATATAAATGGTGTGATGAATTATACAAATATTTTTAACTTTTTAATTTTTATAAAAAATTTATATTTAAATTTATATTTGTCTAGTTTAAATAATTTTCAATGCTATCATGAAATATACAAAGTTATTAAAATGAAGACAATAAAATTACAAATGAAGACAATTTTATTAAAAAAAAAAAATTAAATGGTGGGAAAATTATATTTATGCTTTTTTTCAATTTTTTATATTTTGTCTAGTCGGGTATAATATAAATATATATATATATATATATATTTTAAAAAAATAGTTGAAACAAGGTTACAAAAAATAAAAAAAAATAAACAAAAACAAAATCACTAAAAAAAACTTATATTCAAATAATACCTACAAATTTAAAGGGAAAGTTGATTGAAATTTGCCAAAATAACATGTAACTATTAGAGTATCATTGCTATAATTTGACAAAATAATACTATTTATTACCAAATTATAATAATGACAATGCTATTTTGACAAACACCATTAAAAATGCTCTTAGGTAGGTTTGGTTGACAAGCCTAGGAATATGTTTGGTTGGGATTTTTTTTTGTTGCCGTCAATGTTGTTTTTATTTTGAGATTACATTGCACACGCGGCAGATTTCATTTCGGGAGCTCAGTAGCTAGGCATTGAACCATTCAACACTATTTCTTAAGATCAAACATCAACAGCCAAGGCAAAAAAAAAAAAAAAAAAACCCCTCAATTAATAAGAAAACTTGATTCCCCACTTGCCACTCTCGCTAAACCTAACCCACTACACCACTACCATCTCACCTACTCCACTAAACCTAACCCACTACACCACTACCATCTCACCTACTCCACTAAACCTAACCCACTACACCACTACCATCTCACCTACTCCACTAAACCTAACCCACTACACCACTACCATCTCACCTACTCCACTAAACCTAACCCACTACACCACTACCATCTCACCTACTCCACTAAACCTAACCCACTACACCACTACCATCTCACCTACTCCACTAAACCTAACCCACTACACCACTACCATCTCACCTACTCCACTAAACCTAACCCACTACACCACTACCATCTCACCTACTCCACTAAACCTAACCCACTACACCACTACCATCTCACCTACTCCACTAAACCTAACCCACTACACCACTACCATCTCACCTACTCCACTAAACCTAACCCACTACACCACTACCATCTCACCTACTCCACTAAACCTAACCCACTACACCACTACCATCTCACCTACTCCACTAAACCTAACCCACTACACCACTACCATCTCACCTACTCCACTAAACCTAACCCACTACACCACTACCATCTCACCTACTCCACTAAACCTAACCCACTACACCACTACCATCTCACCTACTCCACTAAACCTAACCCACTACACCACTACCATCTCACCTACTCCACTAAACCTAACCCACTACACCACTACCATCTCACCTACTCCACTAAACCTAACCCACTACACCACTACCATCTCACCTACTCCACTAAACCTAACCCACTACACCACTACCATCTCACCTACTCCACTAAACCTAACCCACTACACCACTACCATCTCACCTACTCCACTAAACCTAACCCACTACACCACTACCATCTCACCTACTCCACTAAACCTAACCCACTACACCACTACCATCTCACCTACTCCACTAAACCTAACCCACTACACCACTACCATCTCACCTACTCCACTAAACCTAACCCACTACACCACTACCATCTCACCTACTCCACTAAACCTAACCCACTACACCACTACCATCTCACCTACTCCACTAAACCTAACCCACTACACCACTACCATCTCACCTACTCCACTAAACCTAACCCACTACACCACTACCATCTCACCTACTCCACTAAACCTAACCCACTACACCACTACCATCTCACCTACTCCACTAAACCTAACCCACTACACCACTACCATCTCACCTACTCCACTAAACCTAACCCACTACACCACTACCATCTCACCTACTCCACTAAACCTAACCCACTACACCACTACCATCTCACCTACTCCACTAAACCTAACCCACTACACCACTACCATCTCACCTACTCCACTAAACCTAACCCACTACACCACTACCATCTCACCTACTCCACTAAACCTAACCCACTACACCACTACCATCTCACCTACTCCACTAAACCTAACCCACTACACCACTACCATCTCACCTACTCCACTAAACCTAACCCACTACACCACTACCATCTCACCTACTCCACTAAACCTAACCCACTACACCACTACCATCTCACCTACTCCACTAAACCTAACCCACTACACCACTACCATCTCACCTACTCCACTAAACCTAACCCACTACACCACTACCATCTCACCTACTCCACTAAACCTAACCCACTACACCACTACCATCTCACCTACTCCACTAAACCTAACCCACTACACCACTACCATCTCACCTACTCCACTAAACCTAACCCACTACACCACTACCATCTCACCTACTCCACTAAACCTAACCCACTACACCACTACCATCTCACCTACTCCACTAAACCTAACCCACTACACCACTACCATCTCACCTACTCCACTAAACCTAACCCACTACACCACTACCATCTCACCTACTCCACTAAACCTAACCCACTACACCACTACCATCTCACCTACTCCACTAAACCTAACCCACTACACCACTACCATCTCACCTACTCCACTAAACCTAACCCACTACACCACTACCATCTCACCTACTCCACTAAACCTAACCCACTACACCACTACCATCTCACCTACTCCACTAAACCTAACCCACTACACCACTACCATCTCACCTACTCCACTAAACCTAACCCACTACACCACTACCATCTCACCTACTCCACTAAACCTAACCCACTACACCACTACCATCTCACCTACTCCACTAAACCTAACCCACTACACCACTACCATCTCACCTACTCCACTAAACCTAACCCACTACACCACTACCATCTCACCTACTCCACTAAACCTAACCCACTACACCACTACCATCTCACCTACTCCACTAAACCTAACCCACTACACCACTACCATCTCACCTACTCCACTAAACCTAACCCACTACACCACTACCATCTCACCTACTCCACTAAACCTAACCCACTACACCACTACCATCTCACCTACTCCACTAAACCTAACCCACTACACCACTACCATCTCACCTACTCCACTAAACCTAACCCACTACACCACTACCATCTCACCTACTCCACTAAACCTAACCCACTACACCACTACCATCTCACCTACTCCACTAAACCTAACCCACTACACCACTACCATCTCACCTACTCCACTAAACCTAACCCACTACACCACTACCATCTCACCTACTCCACTAAACCTAACCCACTACACCACTACCATCTCACCTACTCCACTAAACCTAACCCACTACACCACTACCATCTCACCTACTCCACTAAACCTAACCCACTACACCACTACCACCTCACCTACTCCACTAAACCTAACCCACTACACCACTACCACCTCACCTACTCCACTAAACCTAACCCACTACACCACTACCACCTCACCTACTCCACTAAACCTAACCCACTACACCACTACCACCTCACCTACTCCACTAAACCTAACCCACTACACCACTACCACCTCACCTACTCCACTAAACCTAACCCACTACACCACTACCACCTCCACTTCACCTACTCCACCACTCCATCTCCACTTTACATCTCCTATATAATGTACATACAATACAATCAACATCAATCATAATACATACAATTTATTTTCTCTGTAATTCTCTCTCTATCAATTTATCTTACAATAAGAAAACTTGATTCCCCACTTACTACTGTCGGTGATGATAGATTAAATTAAGAGAAATTCAAAAGATGAAGACGTGGCAGCAATCGGTGACCATGGCACCAAGATCCTCTAGAGTGAAAAGTCTAGAATCATCTCTTAAAGTGATTAATTCAACGGTTGACATTAAACCTTATCAAAACGACGTCGTTTTGATAAGTAATTTGAGAAAATATAAATAAAAAAAAAATCAACCTTTTGTGTGTCTCTTTCACTTAGTTCGTGGGAGAGTTAGAGAGAGAGAGAAGGGACCTGAGCAAGAGAAGGGACCTGAGCTTTGATTCAAGTGAAATCCTTGGATCATGTGAATATCTTGTTCTTGATCTATACATTAGTGCTTCACAAATCAGCCCTTGATTTTGATGATGATGTTGCTCATTTTGACTGTATCTGCTGATTTTGTTGCACATTTTGATTTTGATGATGATGATGATACAGATCTGAATCAATCTTTGATACTCGCACTATGGGGTCTGTAAATATATATATATATATAGAAATACATATTCTCATTTTGATTTTGATGATGATGATGATGATATAGATCTGAATCAATCTTTGGTGCTCGTACTATAGGGTCTGTAAATATACATATACGCATATAGAAATACATATCTGAATCAATCTTTTGATGATGATAATGATACAGATCTGAATCAAATTTATTATCGAATCAATTTAGTCTTCTTCGCAGGGTTTGTAAATATACATATATACATATAGAAATACATATCTAAATCAGTCTTTTGATGATGATGATACAAATCTGAATCAATCTTATTATCGAATCGATTTAATCTTTCTTCTTTATTTATTTAGATCTCACAGATCAAAAGAAGAAGTTGAATTTTTTTTATTTTTTTTTCAAATTACTCAAAGCTTTGGTCCCTTTTCTTGTTCTAGTCTCTTCTCTCTCTCTCTCTAACTCTCCCACCAACTAACTAAAAGAGAAACCTAGAAAGCTAAAAAAAATTTATTATTATTTTTTTTTCAAATTACTCA